CCTTCCTTCCTTCCTTCCTTCCTTCCTTCCTTCCTTCCTTCCTTCCTTCCTTCCTTCCTTCTTTCCTTCCTTCTTTTCTTTTTATATTTTAAAACAATCTTTTCTCATTTTACATACCAATCCCAGTTCCCACTCCCTCCCTTCCTCCTGCTCCCCCACCTGCTCTCCCCACCCCACCCCCATCCACTCCTCAGAGAAGGTAAGGCTTCCCTTGGGGAGTCAACAACGTCTGGCACATCACTTTGAGGCAGGACCAAGGCCTTCCCCCCTATATCTCGGCTGAGCAAGGTATCCCTCCAAAGAGAATGGGCTTCAAAAAGTCAGTTAAAGCATTAGGGATAAGTCCTGGTCCCAATGCCAGTGGCCCCACAGACTGCCCAGTCACACAACTGTCACCCACATTCAGAGGGCCTAGTTTGGTCCTATGCAGGTTCCTTCGCTGTCAGTCCAGAGTCAGTGAGCTCCCACTAGCTCACGTCAGGTGTTTCTGTGGGTGTTCCCATCATGGTCTTGACCCCTTTGCTCATAGTCTTACTTCTTCCCCCCACTTCTATTCAGAAAATGTCATCAGGCTGACCTGGGGCTGAGATCTTCCTGCCTAGCTTCCTTGGTGCAGGGGTTACAGCTGCAGGATTGTATCACACTGAAAACGGAGGATAGGTTGCTTTAAATGCCAGCGATGGGTGGATGCTGTCTTCAGGGTCAATACCTAAGGCCTGGGGCCTTTATATTTTCCATAATTAATGGCCACAGTTGCTGGGACCTGGGAGCTCTACGTTCTACATTCTTAGGGCTTGTTTCCTGCCTCCACTTCTATGTGTGAACCCAGTCTCTGCTGCTTTGTCCTAAGCGGGGAGGTGTCTTAGGGTTACTATTGCTGTGATGAAACACAATGAGCAAAGTACCTTGGGGAGGAATGGGTTTATTTAACTTATACATCCATATCACTGTTCATCATCAAAGGAAGTCAGGACGGGAACTCAAACAAGGCAGGAACTGGAGGCAGGAGCTGATGCAGAGGCCATGGAGGGGAGCTGCTTACTGGCTTCTCCTCATGGCTTGCTCAGCCTGCTTTCTTACAGAATCCAGGATCACCAGCCCAGGGATGACACCACCCACAATGGGCTGGGGGCTGGGCCCTTCCCCAACAATCACTAATTAAGAAAATGCCCCACAGCAGGAACTCATGGAGGCATTTTCTCAATGGAGGTTCCTTCCTTTTATTTAACTCCCAGCCTGTGTAAAGTTGACAGGAACCTAGCCAGTACAGAGGAGTGTGTTGAGGTGAGCCCCACCACAAGGGCAAAATCCTCGGGAGTGGAAGTGGTGCCGTGACTTATAATTGGGTAATGCAAATCCTGTCAAGGTGCATGTGCTAGAAGCTTTATCTGCGTTGTGGAAATGTTGAGAAGTGATGGAATCTCTACGAGGTGGGGCCTGGTGGGGGTTAATTAGGTCCTGGATTTGCTGCTCTTGACAGGGGTTAGTGCAGTTCCAATAAACCTCAGAGTTCAACTGTCAAATAGCACGGGAAGCCCCTGTGTTTGCCTTGTAAATGGAGACTGTTTGTTTCCCGGCCGCCCAGGCCTGAAAAATCACACAGAAACTGTATTAATTAAAACACTGGCCAACGACTCTAGCATAGTTCTAGTGAGCTCTTACATCTTCAATTAACCCATTTCTATCCATCTGTGTGTTGCCATGAGGCTGTGGCCTACCGGGTAAGGTTCTGGTGTGTCCTTCTACGGCAGCTACACTGTGTCTCCCCAACTCTGCCTGCTCTCTCTATATATCTTTTCCAGCCTGGCTATATTCTGCCCTGATGTAGACCAAGGCAGCCTTGTTCATTAGCCAATAAAAGCAGCAGATATACAGGAGGACATCCCACACCATTGCCTCTTACTTGGCTGTTTTCCTTTTGGCTCTCTGCTGTGTCATGAGCCAGTCCAGTGTCCCATTAGGAGAAAGTATCCAATTTTAGAGTTTTCTGTCTTAGAACTGAGTTTAGAGAAAAACTTTCTTTTCTTTTAAAAACGTTTTACATTTATTCGTGTGTGTGTGTGTGTGTGTGTGTGTGTGTGTGTATGAACCACAGAACATATGTGAAGGTCAGAGGACAATGTGGGTTCTGGGTTCAAATTCATGTTGTCAGGCTTGATGGCATGTGCCTTTAATAGCTGAGCTGTCTTGCTAGCTCAGAACTCTTCTTTTTATAAGTTGCTGGTTTAGATCTTTTGTTATAGTAATAGAAAATGGGCTTATATGGGGCTTGTATGAATGGGGTCTGTGGGAACTTGTTTGTATGAATGGAGTCTGTGGGAACTTGTTCATACAAATGGGGCCTATGGGAACTTGTTTGCTGGCTTATAGTGGGAAGGGCAAAGTGCTACCCATGAGCCAGGACAGGAGCTTGCTGAGATGTGAGAAAGGAATTTAGTCATCCAGGTTACTGAATTCCTCCCCCGGGGTACATCACTAGTAGTGGAGGGCCTGAGAAGTGAGAGGAGAGGAAAGGAGTGGGTGAAGCTGAGGTGAGGGAGGCAGGGGGGAACCCTTGCCTACTGTAGCACAAAGGAAGATGTTGTCTGTTGGGACTCACCCATCCATAGCCCCCTGTATGTTTACTGTGTATAACAGAAAGTGACCCTTATCAGCCTTAGCAAGGAACATATATCATGTATAGGAGCCTCCATAATTGTTGGGTGTATGAGTTTAATGACTATGTAAAAGTATGGATCCCCTCTTGCTGTGGGACAATGGTCTTGTGTCCTGTAAAGATTTGTCACTTGTATTGGTTTAATAAAATGTTGGTTGGCTAGTAGCCAGGCAGGAAGTATAGGCAGGGTGACCAGAACAGGAGAATTCTGGGAAAAGACTCAGTCTGCAGTTGTCACCAGACCAAGAGGAAGCAAGATGAGAATGCCTCTTTGATAAAAAGGTACCAAGACTTTTTATCATGGCTAACACAGACAAGAATTATGGACTAATTTAAGATGTAAGAATTATTTAATAAGAAGCCTGAGCTAATAGGCCAATCAGTTTATAATTAATGTAGGCCTCTGTGTGTTTCTTTGAGACTATATGATTGTGGGACCTGGTGGGATAAAAACATCTGTCAACACCCTCTGTCTCTTCTTAAGGTATTTGGAAACCTTAGAATAATCCCACTCACACTTAGGACAAACTGCGACTTGCCACAGGGTTCTATAACTCCATATGCCTGCCCCCAGCTTCTTTTAGCTCTTGCATCTTTTGAGGCAGAGTCTGGGTCCAGAACTGCAGCCTTCTGGCCTTCAGGGCTCGGCCCACAGCAGGCTGGATGTCCAGCTGCAGGTACTGCTCTTCATGGTCAAACATGGGCCAGTGGGGTAGACCCTCACTGTTGGGGTTCCTGTAGACACATCCTCCCAGCAGGGAGATCAAACGTTATTTTGGGTTCTGCTGAACTTGGACCCCATTCCCTGATTTGGGTCAGGACAATGGTCTAAGCATTTAGGGAATTATGGTAATTTAGAGGTAGGTATACTGATGTAGGAAAACAAGGAGACCTTACTACTGTCTGTTCCATGAGGGACAAAGATACCTGACATGATTCCGAGGTATACTCTAAAGAACAGTACTATAGGGGCTGGAGAGATGGCTCAGAGGTTAAGAGCATTGCCTTGTCTTCCAAAGGTCCTGAGTTTAATTCCCAGCAACCACATGGTGGCTCACAACCATCTGTAATGGGGTCTGGTGCCCTCTTCTGGCCTTCAGACATACACCCAGACAGAATATTGTATACATAATAAATAATTTTTTTAAAAAAAGAATAGTACTATAACACTATGGCTCTACATTTGTGTCACTGGGCAATGATCAGAGACCAGTACCTACAGTTGTCTAAGTGGATCCTGAGGTGGGGATGAGGCTATCGTGTGACGAAAGACCCATGATTGCTAATGAAATCACTAACCACAAGGGTAGCTCTAGATGTCAGTCAACTCCTTAGAGGTTAAGGGGGAGGCGTGTTCTCACCCGTGTCGTGCAAAGTTGGCCCAGTACTTCATCATCCTCCTGCTCAGCTGCTCCTCCTCCTCAGTGAGGTCAACTGCAGAAGGGGGAGATTAAGGCTCCAGACTCTTGCTTCTCATGCAGCGTCCACTCATGTTCTACACTCCCCATTCCAGCTGCAGCCTGCTCCCCTTCTCTTCCCTTCCTGCCACCCATAATCCACTCCTGCACCTGCACATTCTGTCTTACTCATCCCAGCCTCCAGTGTCTACTCCTTTGGGCTCATTCATGCCCCAGAATGTCCTCCTTCCTTCCAACCAAAGGAGGTTGCGAATAATCATATCTTTAGAATACCCTTCTCACGCTAGGAGTCATAGTGCTTGCCTCTAATGTCAGCACTCAGAAGACTGAGACAGAACTGTCAAGAACTATGGGCTACACAGGGAGACTTTGCCTCAAAAAGTCAAAGCAAGCAAATAAGCAAGTACTATAAAACAGCCCATTCTACCATCATGGCCGTTTCCATGGCTCATGCAGGGAGGGACAGCTGGAGGAAACAGAGGCAGGAGTGGGAAGGGATTGGGTTTCTAACCTCACATCAGCCTTTTGAGATACATCATGGTATACAAGTCAGGCTGTCTTTCCTCTGAACCTCAACACCCCCCCCCCACTCTGAATATGCTTGAGGGGCCTGCCGCCTGGGGGATAAAGACACTTACCTTGGGTGCCTCCCCAAAATGATCTGAAGATAAAGAGAATCTCGTCACCATGGTCAGCCTTCACATGGGGTGGTTTAGAGTCCTTGAAAAAATTGGGTCTATGCTGGAACTCATAGAAGTATACAGGGGCACGGGAACCTGCAGGCAAGGACAGACTGAGAATGGACCCTTGCCTGGGGATGTCCTTCCTCAACTGTGATGACTGGATGTAGGGCCAAAGATGGACAGAGTTTGAATAGTGAAACGTGAAACCCCATGCTGGAGCAGGGCCTTAGGGAGGGACTCGGTTAAATCACGGTCCCGGAAATCTTTGCTATACAGTCTTATGATATTGTGATCACTTAGTTTCCTCACCAGTGAAATTTGGAAGTTTCCTATGTCTTAGACAAGTCCCAAAAATTAGATGAGGGGCATTAAGTTCCTGCCCTCAGACAGGGTGGGGGTCTGGACACCCCAGAGTTCAACTGTGCACCACGGCTTTGAGCTGCCCGTAGGCATTGGACCTCAGCTCCAGATGTACTCACGCTGAAAATGCGCTACTTGCAGCGCAGGCACCACAAAGGTGAAGTCTTCCATCATCTCTGTGAACTGCACTTGGAGAAGCTGAGTGTCCTCATTGTCTCCCATGTACTCCTCCATAAGCAGGTCACTAAATCCAGGAGGCCACATCTGGCCCAGAGGGATCAGGGAGAGTTATATTAGACCGTTCCTGAGGCAGTCAGGTTATAGCCTCAGGATGAAGAGTCTGGCCCAGCAACAGATAAATTAAATCAAGAAGGGTCCAGGCTCTGGGGGAACTCAACCCACAAGTACCATCATGGTTCAGTCTTTGTCCCTGCAAGTTGTTGAACGAACAGGATACGGTGGAGATGCGCTCCACTTATAGTGCCCAAGAAATCTCACCATCTGTGCAGCCCTTCTCCTCAGGATAGCTTGCACGGTCTGTCTGTCCAGTTCCTTCTGGGAGTCAGTGGCGCTAATGCTCTAAGTGGTAAGAGGAAAGTCTGTGCTGTGGTCAAGAGCCCATGGAACTATAGAACAGGCTTCCCAGAGACCAAGGGCCTTACGCCTGGGTCTTACCGAGGGGATGATCCAGCCATACTCATCATTATTGACACCAATAATGCTGGGGACAGATTGGAAGTCAGCAGAGGCAAGCAACTCCTTGGGATGCCTGGGCAGGAAGACACCATCAACTATGCCAGGGATGATCTTGAAGGCCTGAAGGAACATTGGCTGTTAAGGAGGAAGGCCAAGTCCTTGGCAATTCTGATCTTGGGCTATGTCTCCCACTCCTCTCTGCCTCGTCTCAGGATTGTCACACCTCGTCTATGAGATCCCGCAGCTGATTTACCATATCCTGGTGTTCAGCTCTCTTCCTGGGCGCTAGGTTATGAGGGACGGAATGAAGGCAGTGTCTAGGGGAGATGAAGGCAGCCTAGGGCAGGCTACCCTACTTCCTGTTGCCCCTCTATCCTACCATTTAGTCCAACCTTGTTAATAGCCATAATCTCGTCTTCAGTCTTGTCTCGTAGACAGTTCACCAGGGCCTCTGAGTCCACCTGCTCACATCCAGACAGGTTGGCAACCACCTATAAAGACATCAGGCCAGGGATGGCTCAGCCTTCCAGGAAGGAAAGGTTTTTTTTTTACCAAGGTGCCACTTGGGTTCAGGTGTTCCTCATATCTCATGAAGTACATGTGTCCGTAGGTATACACATTATGGCAGGTGTGAAAATTGTTTCTGTTTCCTGAATGTTTAGAGGCGAGAGCCAGAGGGGCTGTCACGTATGATGACATGCAGGCTTTGTTTATGCCATCACCATGCCCGAGCATGGTCCTATGGAATACAAAGTCAGTAGGAAGCAGAGAGGAGCACATTCTAGCCTTCAGCTCTTTAGAAATTCTTGTACAGGGGGCAGCTGCCTGGGTACCTCCGTGGTCCTTGTCCACTTTGGTCAGACAGAGAACCAGAGTTTCGGAGGGTGAAAGCTGAGGCAACAGTTTAGGGTTGGGGTGATTGGGGGCACTCACCCTATAGACTGCTTCAGAGGATTCTGAGATGAGGCTTGATATGAGGGCCACCCCACTCTCCATGATGGCTCTGTGGAAGAGTCCTCGGGACATGGGGGACACAACATGTGAAGACACACTTGTGCCACCTGCAGACTCGCCAAAAATAGTGACGCAGTCAGGGTTGCCTCCGAAGTAGGCGATGTTCTGTTGGACCCAGCTCAGGGCGGCCACTTGGTCCAGGTAGCCCCAGTTGCCTCTGGCATGCTGGTCCCCAGTGCTGAGAAGTGGCAGGGACAGGAATCACAGGGATGCCCTTATTTTTCTCAGGTCCCATTGTCCAATCCAGTCCCAGACTCACCTGAAGAAGCCTAGAACACCCAGGCGGTACTGGATAGTGACCACCACCACATCCTCAGTGGCTGCCAGCATGGACCCATCATACAAGGAAGCCATGCCTATAACCAGAGCACCACCATGGATCCACACCATCACCTGGAGAAGTCAAGATAGGTGCCATGTGGCTCCCATATAACCCAGCTGGCTTTCCTTCAGGGTTAGTACAACTTCTTCTGTGAGCAGTTGCCCACATAAACAAATGCCCAGTTGGCTATCCTGGCATTTCTGTGGGTGAGAGGTTCAAACACAGCCATGGACACAAGCCTTACTCTCTGTTTGGAGTCCACCCTAGCACCAAAGCCTGACTGGATTATTCTCAGAAACTTTTGTGGGGGAACAATAGGGATATTTCCTTCATTATGTCCCACAAAAATTAGTCAAAGTGTTCTTTTTTAAGAACACACACACACACACATATGTTTAACTGGTGTTTTGCCTGCATGTATGTCTGTGGGAAGGTATCAAAAAGCCCTGAAAGTAGAGTTACAGACAGGTGTGAGGTGCCATGTTGGTGCTGGGAATTGAACCCAGGTCCTCTGGAAGAGTAGCCAGTGCTCTTAACCACTGAGCCATCTCTCCAGCCCCCAAAAATGTTCTTAAGTCTCATCAGTTCAACAAAAATCAACGGCTAGGTCACTGGTGACTTCAGAGTGCGGCCACTGAGCACCCACTAGATCTAGACATAAATTGGCAGCTGGTTAGATTATACGAAGAGATTTCTCATCAGGGTGCACCGCAGCATGGCCCGAACTGATCTAATCTTTGTCTAGAGGAAATGCCCTCTTACCCCAGAATGAGCAGGACTTGACACTCACAGGCAGCTTGGAACCCTCGTGGGCATGGTCTGGTGCATAGATGTTAAGGTAGAGGCAGTCCTCAGACATGGGAATGGGAGGCAGGGTCAGCTTCAACAGCTTAAGAGCCTGCATATTCAGTGCACTGATGTCCTGCAGACACCTGGTGACCAACCATGACAGTCAGTCAGCCCAGGGACATGGGGTGCTCAGAAACAGACTCTCAGGGAATGGGCTTCCAAATATCCTAGGCACTTCCTTCCTGATGTCTTGCTTACACAGGGTCAGTCTCTAAGTTCCTGCCCATAAAGGTCAGACTATGGCTCTGGAGAAGCTGCGATGGAGCCCAGATGTCTAGTATAATGTCTCAAGGTTGTTGGGGGGCTTGGATACTCCTCCTCCTGAGGGTGGGAAATCAAGACCTTGGGTTGAAGGTATTGACATTCACCATTTTTTCACTCCAGTCAACCAGTTCCGGAATAGGCAGCTGTGCTACACTGGAATTCCTGAGTGAGTGGAGGCTAGTTTCCCATAGGGTAGTGGGGACCTCCATCATCCCAAATCCAGACTCCTGGGATCCTCATCTCTTCCATAATCTCCTGTTAGAAGCACATTGTGACATCTTGAATGTCAACTTGATGAGATTTAGAGCCACTATGGAAACAAGCCTGTAGGCTTGTTTGGGAGGCTCTTTCTAGGTTATTTGAGATAGGAAGACATGGCCTCCAAGTGGACAGTACTACTCTGTTTGCTGGTGCCTTGAACTGAATAGAAAAGAGATAGTAAGTGGAGCATCTCTCTCTCTCTCTCTCTCTCTCTCTCTCTCTCTCTCTCTCTCTCTCTCTCTCTCCCTCACTGTGGATATAATGTGACAAGTCACCCTACACTCCTGCTGCCATGTCTTTCTTACCAAATGGACATTACTCTTGAATTATATATCAAAATGAACTCTTCCTCGTTAAGTTGCCTTGGACATATATTTTGTCCCAGCGATAAGAAAGACACCTAACATACATATATACTTATTTCTTACCTAGTGACATCTCGTCCTGTAGGGACAGTGGCAGTGGAAGGTGGAGTTTGCACGGAGCTACCATTGTCCTCTCTAAGGACCTAGTTTCTGATGTTGTTAGTTGGGGGATCTTACAGGTCTTGGGAGTCAACCCAAACCTCTCCCAGAGACCCTTTCCTGGATGTCTGAGAACACTAGAACTGGCCCTATCGGTGCCATCCAGATGCCAAGCCTTGAACTAAGAGGCTGGCAGAGTTGTTTTGCTCACTTAATATTAGAAAGTTCTGAAAATGCTCTGGGAAATTCCCCCGCGCAGTGGAAAACACTGTGAGCTTGAGATGAGGAACTACTGCCATCTGGCCCAGAGTCACAGCACCCGTCAACCCCGGGCCTCAGGAGAACTTACATGGCTGGATGGGAGGTCCCATCTCTCACACCACTCCATGGCTCAGGGGGCTCAGGGGGAGCAAAGCGCAGTGGTCCCACAGGTGGCTTGGCAAAGGGAATTCCCAGGAAGCTGTGGACACCCACATCAAGGCCCTTCATGTGGATGAGGCTGCCTTGTATCTGGCCTGTGTGTGTGGTCCTGATGGGACTGGCTGAGTCCTGGCCTGTGGATGGAGGGGTGACATCAAGGTTGGGCCTACACAATCAGCTGCCACCACAGTAAGGGTTTTTTTTTTTCACTCACTTCTTTATCACCCTCAGCTCAGCCTCTTCCAAGGACCAAGGACAGCAAACACTAATGCACTCCTCGTTTGTCACATGACCTCACATCACCACTGTCACAACGTATGATTACTGCTGGAGTTTGAAACAAGTTAGGTCCTGCAGTGTTGAGAGTGAGCTGTCAGACAACAGTGACTATGGCCATTCCTAGGGCACATTTCTTCTTCTTGAACCATGTCGTCTCTCTCCATGTGCACCTATTGTGAAATGCCACTGGCAGGTTGTGACAAAGCTGGAAGGCCCTGAACAGTCTTACTAGAGCGAGCCACCTGATCGCGAATATTCAAACTCTAAATTGGGAGCTGAACAAACACACTTCCTTTGACCACTATGTGGCTTCAGATATTTTGGTGCAGCTATCTGATCCACTAAGATGTGTAAGTGAAAAGGCACACTCTCCTTCTCTGTCACATGCTGCTCACACAGGGTTTCATGCGGAACGAGAATACTATCCATGCAATTTCGCTTCAGTTACCAGCTACAGGGGCCTCATCGTGTGTTTGTTACAGCAAAGAACAAAAATATGCTATAATGTCCGTGATTTTAGATTCATCCCATTAACTGATTATCTTTGAAGTGAAGCCATTGAGTGGTCTTAGGGAGCTCTAATACATCGTGATGTGAGGCGATTGATCTCCTTGCTAGGAAGAGTTTAATTGTGGTGCCAGAAATGGAGTGAATTTGTAAATATTTTGGTTGAAATCAAGGGCCAAAGCCTCCATCTAGTCTTAGACAACTCTTGAGCCCTGTGTGTAAGGCCCAGGGACCCTGATGTTTCCTATAGAAGAATCAGGAGTAGATGAGACAGAAGAGGGTGGGATCCACATTTGTGCTCTCCTATGACTTGTTAAAGATGCTTCATGATATGGGCTCAAGCCAAGCACTATTTAAAATGGGAGCCATTAGAGAGGCTAGGCAGACCCCTTGCCTGGAAGGTCCTGGTGACTTTTGAGAGCAATGCCAAATCAGGTGAGGGAGAAAGGCCAATGGTAAGGCACGAAGAATAGGCATGTGGAAATTGAAAAATTACAAAAGGATGGCAAGAATTGGGGCCTTCAGGTGGGGTACTAGAGGGGAGAGGATGAGGGACACGTTCAGGAATTCTGCCCACTTAACTCCAAATGACGTGGACATTGTTTGGCAGGCACAGAGTGCTGACACCTTTCCCCTGGAAGCCAAGTCCCACCGCTGCCTCAGGTCAGGCCAAATCTATGATATCAAAAGCACCCTGGGGCCCTCAGAGCCAATTTCAGGTGCAGGACTGAGCTCCTCTATCCTCAAGAGTAGGCAGCTTTTCTTGAATACCTCTGAGAAAGCCATGCTACCCCTCTGGCCAAGGAAATAATACATTAAAGTCAAACAGCCATGGAGGGTACCATCTTACTGCTTAGAACTTGCATATAGCTGCAGCTCCAGGCATGAGCCCAGGAGGGAAAGTCCTGACTCCCCATTTAGAGGCTGCTTGCTCTCTGGCCTTGTTCATCTGCAGTTCCCCCAAAACCCCGTCATTCTCAGCTCCTTTCTTGAAGGAGGGCATCCTTAGTTAGCCTTTCTGCTCTATGACTTAGGGGGCCCACTCTGACTGGGGGGGGGACACATCACACAAGCGCAGGGTTCCTGAGCAATGAACTCCACCATTTCAGCCTTTCCTTGCCCATTTCCTCCCTTAGTCTCCACTCTGCCTCTGCACAGTTTGGCAGCTCTGACACGGTTCCCGGTCACTCCCACGAAAGCCTCACCCTGAACCAGGAGGAGAAGCAGGAGCCCACAGGCCACGGTGGTCAGCCAAACAGGAGTTTGTTCCAGTCCCATGGTTGGTGCCCAGGAGTGTGTCTGAATCCTGTAGGCAGGTCAGGCTTTACCACAAGGCACCCGAGGACCAGAGCTGGAGTTTGGACCCAGCAGGGTGTGGGCGGGGCCTTGGGCGGGGCTTGGGAGTTGGGTGCTGCCGGAACAGTTGGGTTTGTGAAAGTCATAATCAGCAGACAGGAAATGTGATCACTTTCACACGTTCTGCGGCCCTTGTGGCCTCCTCTGAAGGTGATATGTGGCATCTGTAGCCCCTTTGGTACAACGACCTGAACCTGAAATCCACAGTCACAGAGTTCATTGGCATGACAGTCACAGGTCCAAACACGACATTGGGGATGAAAGGGCGGAGCTGGAAGCTGTAACTGGAGATGATAGAAGGGCTTCTCTGAAGTGACACACCTTCAATGGCCCTCATTAGAGAGTGATCACACCTATTATGGGATGAAGGGACCTGGGAGAGCAAATACATGAAACTGCAACTCTTCTCTTAATCCTGAAAACTCCTCTGTAGTTTCTAGACTCGTCCCTGCCCAGGTCCCTTAATCCTCATAGTCATGTTCTGAAAATCCCTATGGATTCTTCTTTAGTCTCAGGGACATTTATGTATGTGTGTCTACACACATGTGTACACACATGCATGCACACACATTTATATAAATATGTTATTGAATGAAGAAGAAACTCGAGCATTTTTGAGTATATTCAGTGGGTGACGGCAAACCTAGATTCACAGAACCTGGAGGAACAGAGAGAGACACAGAAGCACGCACACAGAGTCAGAGTATGGAAAGACTGCGATGGAGATGCAGAGGAAGATGGAAGCAGATGTTAAGAGTCTATGGGAAGGGCCAGTGTGACGGCTCAGTGGGTAAGGATGGCTGCCACAGGGACTGATGAGCTAAATTCGATCCTTGGAATCCACACAGTAGGAGGGGAGAACTGACTCTCAAAAGTTTTCCTCTGCCTTCCACCTGTGTGCCATGGCAGGTGAGCACAAGTGTGCATGTGTGTTTGTGCATGCGTGTGTGCTCACGGACACACACACAGACACACACACAGAATAATATGAAAAATAGATGTCTAGTGAGAGCAGGTTTGTTGATTAACATAAGTAATCTCACAGCTTAGGAGGTTGGGGCAGGTGGATCCTGAGTTTGATTACAATATAGGTTATACAGGAAGATTGTGTGTCAACCAACAACATCCAAATGAGCAAATCATAGCAGTAATAATAATGACAACAACAATAATACAAATAAATTAAAGGTTCAGGAAATATCTGCAATGCAATATAGGTGCACACCTGGCCCTAGTAATTCTTCCAGTTATCCCTATCTATCTCCTAAAGGACCTACAGCCTTCAAAACAGTCCTCGAGCTATGGACAAGCACTCAAAACACGAGCTTGTGGGTCACCAGCCCATAGTAACTACTGAAAGCCTAAAAAGTACCCTGAGATTGCTGTTAGTGAACTGTCCTGTGTATTCAGAGAAATGAGAGCCACATGGCAGAGGGTTTACAGTAGTGAGACTCAGTGCTAACCTTCCCTGCAACAGAGTCTCGTCAGAACACTTGAAGGCTTGGTACTGGGGGAAAGATGCTGAACAATCGGTCACACGAGCTCCCGACACCAGAAGCCAGTGCTGGGGCATGTCTCACAAATGTGGCAAATGGAGACCACAGACACCGAGTGAGGGTGAAAGTTACAGAGTTTATCTTCAGGGAAAGGGGAGTGCCTGAGAGCGAGGGGGGTGCAAGGGCACAATGACTCCGTGCAAGATCAATGGTCACCAGGCCCCAAAGATTGGTTTACATGGTCCTGCTTTTACTTAGGGGATAAAAGGGCTTTGCAAAGAGGAGGGGAATGTGGGGGCAGCAGCATGGACTGCCAGTCAGCAGACTGTTGGTTGTCTGCCTCTGATTTTCCTTCCAGGAGCCAGGAAAGTCATCAGCTGCGGTGGGCAGTGGTTGTCAGCAGACACCAAGATTACAGCAATGAAAGCTTTCAGGCTTGAAGCCCCAACCTGACTGCCTGGTGAGGTGCAGCCAACTACTGGTCTCACCAGGACTGCAGCAATGCATTAAGGCTCCAGCAGGAGCACCCCTCTGTTCAACATCAGTCTCAACTATTTCCTGAGTAGGCAACATGAAATCTTTGTTTTCAACCCAAAGGTCATGGTTCATTATGATTTGTATTCAGTGCAATGGCTGGGAAAGGGGGACTGTGCAGTGGCTCTGGAGAAATGGCCCAAGTAGGGCAACATGGTGAGAGGCAGAGGAATAGGGAGATCCTAGGGCCTGCAGGACACAAGGCACTCACCACTCCTTAATGTCAGAGAAAGTGTTTTGGGGGAGCAAAAGTACAGATAGAGCAGAATTTGGCACCTTTGTAAGGGCCAAAGTGCAAGAGACTTTGTACTGTTGGGGTTGAAACATTTAAGGAAATCAATCACATGGACCATCAAGAAGATTAGGGGATGACCAGGAGTCAAGAGGCTTCTGGAGGATCCATGAGGGTAGGAAGACAACTCCATACAAGAAGTTTGGGTGCCAGGGACAAGGGTCTCTTCTGACGCTGCCCCATTTCCAGGACACACCCAATAGACAAACATTTTCAGAGAAGTGACAGACTCAAACAAGTTTGGGCTCCATACTGTCTGCAGAACTCCTGATCCAAAGAGCAAACTTCAGAAAATGGGGCACTGAGAAACCCATGTAGTTCTGATCAACTCCTTAACTCCTGACCCAGACTGAAAATCCTATGAACATGTCTAGTTCTGCTTCTGCAGGCATTTGTAAAATTTCATATACAGGGAACATATGTAGGGATTTTTTTCTCATCAGTTGGCATCCTTTGTGGCTGATGTCAGAGACCTTTATGAGCTGTGGTCTGAAAGCTATCAAATTTATTTGCTGAAATCTAATTTCTGATCCAATGCTATTAAGAGTTATGACTCTGGGAACATCCAAGAGTGTCATTGTTTGCTCATTCTATCCAACGAGGATGCAATGTGAAATCTTTTGAGCCAGAGGCCTAACTCTCACCCCAGAGCAAATCTGATGGCATTTGATCTTGGATTTCCTGGCTTATAAACATGTATAATTTTTTTTTGCTATTTGTATGTTATGCAGATTATAATTTGTTTAGAGATGCTGGGCTTACTATGTCGCTCAGGATGACCCGAAACTGTAGAAATCATATAATCTTTCTGTTTAGGTCTCTGAATAGCAGGGCCCACAGATACCTATTAAAGAGCTCAGCTTACAATTTGTGAAATTTTGGAACAACAACCTGACTGAACACATGAAAACAATAGGTAGGACTTTGGCTATTAGGTTTCTTTATTGGCCACTTACAAATAAGAAGACGTGAGACTTGCTGAGAGAACATAGGATTTTGACAGTCCACTCCCATATAATAAATATTTCCAAAGCTTTTGTTTCATCTGAAGACTGTCTGGGGCTTGGAGAAGAGGAGAGAGGATGAGAGCAGATGAAAAAGGAAGGAAAGGGCGTTGTCCCAGGGGACAGTGAAAGAAGACTGGAGCACTTAGGGGTCACACATCTAAAGTCATGGGAGCATTCACGAAGTCTCATAAAAGGTGTCCCAGCAAGCTGAGGAAAAAGTGACACACCAAGGGTTTGTCGTACATGCAGACCAAATGGACAATTGTAGCGGTAAGGGACGGTGATGTGACTGTTAGACTCTAACCGGGATTCTCTAAGAATGTTCGGCTGACCCCATGTATATTCAGCCCTTCACACCATTCCTCTCACAGCGTACTACTCTTTGTAATTATCCGGAGACCCCTTTAGCTCCTGGATCTTCTCAGGCAGAGTCTTGGTCCAGAACTTCAGCCTTCTGGCCTTCAGGGCTCGGCCCACAGAAGGGTGGATGTCCAGCTTCAGGTACTGCTCATTATGGACCATCTTGGGCCAGTAGGGTAGACCCTTGCTGTTGGGGTTCCTGTGGATATGCCACCCAGCAGGGAATGGTAAGACCATGCTCAAATAATTTGTGATCCCCTAATTGGACCAATAGGTGAGGGGGCTGATGGGGCACATGTCCTTATAAGGGATACAAGTGTCACCTGATAGTGTCTGCTCCATGTGGGGCAAGACTACCTGGACAATTTTGGGTCACCCTCTCAGAGGCAAAATCTAAAGAACAATACCATAGTTCCTATCAAGCCATTGCAGTGTGACCAGTAACCAATATGTATGACGTACCTAAGTGTGACCTGGGGTGAGGAAGACTCTATCATGTGATGAGTTATCCATGCATGCAAATGAAGTCATCAACCACCAATGGAGTCCTAGATAGGGACCCACCTCTGAGGAGGTTGAGGGAGGGGTGTGCTCTCACCCATGTTGTGCAAAGTTGGTCCAGTACTTCATTACTTTCCTGTTCAGCAGCTTCTCCTCCTCAGTGAAGACAGCTGTAGCTGTGGGGAAGACAGAGGTCCATGTCCCAGCCACCCCATGCAGCTGCCTATTCGTGCTCCGTGATCACCATCTTTCCTGTAGCCTGACCTTTCTTGAACTCTAGGCCTCTTTTCCTCCTTCATCACCAAGGATCCAAGAGCCACCCACACCTCTAATTGAATGCCTCCAGGTTCAGTTCTGCTCAGTGTGTCCTCATTCCATCTAATATAGGTGTGGTGGCTCAAATCCTATAAACTCATATATTTGAATGCTTGGCCCCCAGTTAGTGGAACTGTTTGGGAAGAACTAGGAGGTATGGCCTTGCTGGAGGAGGTGTATCACTGGAAGTTGGCTTTGAGGTTTAAAAGTCCAGTCAGGTCCAGTTAGCTTTCTCTCTGCCTTGTGTTTGTAGATCAGAATGTAAGCTTTAGTTAGCTACTGTTCCAGTGCCTTTGTCTGCCTGAACGCTGCTATTCTCCCATCCCTGATGGTCATAGACTCTAACTAACCCTTTGAACCTGTAAGTCCCAATAAATGCTTTTCTCTATAAGCCAACTTGGTCACAGTATCTCATCGCAGCAACAGAAAAGTAACTAAGGCAATAGATTATATTTGGTAGGGTCCAGATTCTAATCTGAGTATAACTTTTTGAGGATGGAAAAGGTGCTTACTTGATTTTGTCTTCTCCCAGAGCCTTGATTTTCTTGGCTGCACTGGGAGCTCTGTTGCCCATCAAGTACCCACCTGTGACCCCATCCAGCTCATGAAACACAAGAAAGACTCACGTTTTATGTCCAAGGGTGAGGACCCAAAAACAAAGGCAAGCTCATCGCCATGGTCAACTTTCACATGGGGTGGCCTCGTATCTTTGACGTAGCTGGGCACATGACGGAATTCATAAAAGTAGACAGGGGCACGGATGCCTAGAGGTATGGACACATGGTTACATAGTATTCTCTCACCTTAACTTTCCTGCCTAACCCTTAGTGATAAGATATGTCGGTATAAAGCTTTCTGGTGTAATAATTGTCAAGTGGCAAGATCTTCTGAGTAAATTGGGGGCATGGAGACCTTAGGAGAGGGTTTAAGAGGAGGGGAGAGGCAGGGAGGGGAGCAGAGAAAAATGTAGAGCTCAATAAAAAATAATAATTGTCAAGTGGGTGGCCCCAGGCTGGAGCACTAGTTCCTGAAAAGCCTTTGGCTAAACAGTGACCCTGGCCTTCCCAGCTGAGTAGGTTTGGCAAATCAATGGAGTATCAGCAACCTGTTTCTTTGTTTGTATCTGGATAAGATATCACTTCCCTCTCTTACACTAGAATGAAGAAATACTGATGTAATGGTCCCGGGAGTTTGGTTCCAGAGATGTGATCCAGACATGAGTGGGGACCTGGACACTATTAAGCTCATCTGGGACCCATGGCTCTGAGCTCCTCCCCACTAGGCCTCATCACAGATGTACTCACGTTGAAACTTTGCTACTTGGAGTGCAGGGATTACAAACATGAAATCTGCCATCATTTCCTTGTACTGTATTTGGAGGGTTTGAGCATCTTCAGTGTTGTTCATATACTCTTCCATTAGCAGGTCACCACACTCAGGAGGTAACATCTACACCAGGGAACCAGGAAGAATGAGTTTAGGCAGGTTCTTGTTTTGATAGGCAGCAGCCTCAGTGTGGAGAATGTGGCCAGGGATAAGATATGATATAGAGGGAAAGGTATAAGTTCTGGGGTGAGACCTCCACCAACCACACACACACACAGATCTTTGTAGGCATGCTGTCTGGAAGGGTACATAGTGGCTCTTTCTATTGGGGGCAGTACTCAAGGTGTCTCACCATCTGTGTTGCTGTGTTCTTCAGAATAGCCAGCAGGGTCTCTCTGGTTATGCCGTTTATTATTTGATCAACGCCCATGACCTGGGAGAGAGAGGACAATTTTCTATAGTATACGGTGGGATAGATATGGACCAAGTTTCCTCTGCTCACCTTATGAGTCCCCAGACTTCCAGAGAATTGGAACTGTGCCTCACCATAGGGATAAGCCAGCCATACTCATCATTGTTGACCCCAATGATGCTGGGGACAGGGCGAAAATCCACAGCAGCCAACAACTCTTGGGGATGCCTGGGGAAGAACTTCCCATCCACCACAGCAGGGATGATATTGAAGACCTGAGGGACATGCAAGGGACATGGAGGTCAATTCTGATGTCCACTGAGAAACCCTAACCATTACTCCTGCCCCCATTTAATTGTCTCAGGATGTTTCTCCACCCCTGACAGAGATTCTACATATATTAGGATATTTGATATTAATTTTACACATGTGATTAAGAGGATGCCAAACCATGAAGTAGGGGTAATTTGTTTAGAGTAGTGAAGACTGACTCTCCCACATCCCACTGACCAGGTCCTCCAAGTCACACAACTCTCCCAACCTTGTTAATAGCCAGAATCTCCTCTTCACTCTTGTTTCTCAGACAGTGCACCAGGGTCTCTGAGTCCACAGTCTCACAACCAGATAAACTGGCCACTTTCTGTAAAGGGATCAGGCAGGAGTTGATTTATCCTTTCAGGTAAGTAGAGGAGTTTTCCCAACCCCAGTTGATTGGCATTGTGCCCAAATATCACATCACACTTTTTGTGCTGGTGAAATAGAGTAAGTATGGAATTCCCATTTTCTTGTTGCTCAAATATAACAGCCAGAGGGGTCATTCTACCTAAAGACTTTAAAAAGTAAGCTATGTGTGTTTGTTCACAAGTGCGTGTGACTTTCAGGAGTGCCTGTACCATGGTTTCCATGCTAAGACTAGAGGACACCATCTGCTTGCTACTCCTCAATTCCCATCTTGTTTGAGAATTGATCTTTTATTATTTCTTCCTGCCTACAAGCGTTTATCTTATTGGTGACCTTTCAGGGATTTTCTGGTCTCTGCCTCCTGTCTCATCCTATGAATACCAGGATCACACACTTGTTGCTACATGCAGCTTTTTGTGGTTTGATGGAGGTGGGTCTTGTATCTTATCTGTTGCTTTCATTGGTTAACTAATAAAGAAAACTGCTTGGCCTGATAGGACAGAAAATTAGGTAGGCGGAGTAGACAGAACAGGATGCTGGCAGAAAGAAGCCGAGTCAGGCAGTCGCCATGATTCTCCCACTCCAGACAGACACAGGTTAAGATCTTTCCTGGTAAGCCAGATCGTGGTGCTACACAGATTATTAGAAATGAGTTAGATCAATATGTGAGAGCTGGAACTAATGGGCCAGGCAGTGTTTAAAAGAATACAGTTTCCGTGTAATTATTTCGGGTAAAGCTAGCCGGATGGTGGAACGCAGCCCACTGCTCCTTCAATACTACAGTGGTTTCTGGGGGAATTTGAACTCGGTCCTTATGGATTTACCTATTGAGCCATATCTCCATCCCATATGTTTCTGAACATGATGGACACTACAATACATGGTTATTACACCCAGCCTGTATAGAAAGAAGTGGATTCTTATCCTTGAATCTCTCAGAATGTAATGAAAAGTTGCTGTTTCCCATGCTTCTTGTTTTCCCAATTGAGAAAACTCCCAGAGTACCAGAGGGTGGAGGCTGAGGCTGCAGGGTCATCAATGGCTGAAGTGACTCACTGTGTAGACCACCTCAGAGGTGTTAGAGATCAGGTCAGGCAGCAGGGCCACTCCACTCTCCATGATGGCTCTGTGGAAGAGTCCTTTGGACATGGGGGACACAACCTGTGAAGACACACTTGTGCCACCTGCAGACTCTCCAAAGATGGTGACAAGGTAAGGGTTGCCTCCAAAGTGGGCAATGTTCTTCCTGACCCAGCGCAGCGCGGCCACTTGGTCCAGGTAGCCCCAGTTCCCTCTGGCATGCTGGTCTCCAGTGCTGTGAAGACACAGAGAAGGAATCACAGGGCTGTCTTAGTTCTTTTCATCCCCTACTGCACAGTGCAGTCAGCCCCAGACTCACCTGAAGAAGCTCAGAACACCCAGGCGGTACTGGATAGTGACCACCACCACATCCTCCCTGGCTGCCTCAGACTCACCTGAAAAAGCCCAGAACACCCAGGCGGTACTGGATAGTGACCACCACCACATCCTCCCTGGCTGCCAGCAAGGATCCATCATATGCAGAAGCCACACCCGCAACCAGTGCGCCACCATGGATCCACACCATCACCTGTGGAAATCAAGTCAGATGCCAGGAGGTTCCCACCCAGCTCAAGCTCCACCTGGGGTGTCTTCTACTCTACCTAATGCTTTGTCTCAGTGAACTTAGACACACAGACAAAACTCCTCAGGACATCCTCACTTGGACCACAGACAGGGCTCTAGTACCATCAGGATACTTGCTAGTCTCTCTGCTTCTCTAAGGACCCAAGCCTGAATTAATGGCTCTAAATCTGGAGTAATAACATCCCCTACTCTCAGACGCCTATGAAATAGAATGAAAAGGGATATATTCATTGGTGACTTTCCTGATTATTAACAAAAAATAATTGGCACATAGCTGGTCATAGTGATGTATACCTTTAATACCAGAGATCTGGGACCAGGTAGGCTGCCTGTGGGCCTTCCCCACTCTCTGTTCCCCCAGATCCAATTCTCAGGGTCACCCCTAGCACTGCAACAGACCATCTCCCCCCAGCATTCCCAGTGAACACACCAGCTGAGCAGGCAGAAGACTTTCTAAAAATCCAGAGAGGAAACAGAAATTAAGTAACAAAACACACACCAAACAAAGAGAAACCAGGAAATCAACACCTAGACCTATAACCACCCCAAACCCAGATACCTAGATGCCAGCATAAGAACACAATAAATAACAACCAGGATAATGTGTTTCCAACAGAACCCAGCTATCCTACCACAGCAGGTTCTAAATATCCCAACAGAGCTGAAAAAAGACCTTAATATGAAGATGAAAGAGGTTCTGAGAGAGCAAATGAATAAACCCCTTAAAGAAAGTGAAAAATATAAACAATTGAAGGAAACAAATAAAATTGTTTAATACCTGAAAATGGATATAGAAACAATAAAGAAAACGCAAACTGAGGGAATTCTGGAAGTGAAAAGTTTAGGAATGTGAGCAGGAACTAGAGAGGCAAACTCCACCAACAGAATACAAGAGATAGGAAGAGAGAATCTCAGAGTTTGAAGATACAATAGAAGAAATGAATACATTGGCCAAAGAAAATGTTAAATCTGAAAAATTCCTGACACAAAACAGCCAAGAAATCTGGGACACTGTGAAAAGAGCAAATGTATGAATAATAGGAATAGAAAAAGGCGAAGAATACCAAATAGGTCAAAGATCTAGAGAATATCTTTTTTTAAAAATTTGTTTGTTTATTTATTTATTTATTATATATACAATTTTCTGTCTGTGTGTATGCCTACAGGCCAGAAGAGGGCACCAGACCTCATTACAGATGGTTGTGAGCCACTATGTGGTTGCTGGGAATTGAACTCAGGACCTTTGGAAGATGAGGCAATGCTCTTGACCACTGAGCCATCTCTCCAGCCCTATCTTTAACAAAACCATGCAAGAAAATTTTCCTAACTCAAAGAAGGAAATGCCTATATAGGTACAAAAGGCATACAGAATACTAAATAGATTGGACTAGAAAAGTACCTTCACCACATAATGATCAAAACATTAAACATACAGAGCAAAGGAAGAATATTAAAAGCTTCAAGGGAGAAGACCAACTAACATATAAGGCAGACCTATTAGACTTACAGCTGACTTCTCAATGGAGACTCTAAAAGACAGAAAGTCTTGGACAGATATGCTGCAGACTCTAAGAGACCACAGGTGCCAGCCAAGATTACTATACCCAGCAAAACTTTCAATCAACTTAAGACATTCCATGATAAAATCAAATTTAAATAATATCTAGATACAAACCAGCCCTACAGAAGGTACTAGAAGGAAAACTCTAAACCAAGGTTAATTACACACATGGAAACATTGGAAATAAATAATCTCACACCAGCAAAACCAAAAGAATGAAAGCAAAAACACACCACCAACACCAACACCAACAACAGCAAAATAACAGGAATTAACAATCATTGATCATTGATATCTCTCTGATGTAGGAGGGTCTTCTGTTTTGTGTTGTTTTTTATTGGTTAATAAAGAAACCACCTTGGCCATTTGATAGGCAGCCCTTAGGTAGGTGGAGTATATAGAACAGAATGCTGGGAAGAAGGGAAGTGAGGTCAGACATGATGGAGCCAGCCTCCAGGTCAGACATGCTGAATCTTTCCTGGTAAGCCACCACCTTGTGGTGCCACACAGATTATTAACCCAGAGATGGGTTAATCAAGATGTAAGAATTAGCCATTAAGAGGCTGGAACTAATGGGCCAAGCAGTGTTTAAATGAATACAATTTGTGTGTTGTTATTTTGGGTAAAGCCAGCCTGGAGCCAGGAGCAGGGCCAGGGAGGCCTGCCCACAGCTCCTCACTACATCTCTCAATACCAATCGACTCAATTCCCCAATAAAAAGACAGATTAACAGAATGGTTACAAATATAGAATCAATCCTTCTGATCATACAAGAAATATACCTCAATATCAGGGTAAAGGGTCAGAAAAAGATACTCTAATCACACAAACCCAACAAGCAATCTGGTGTAGACATTTTAATATCTAATAAAATTAATCAAAAGAGGTGTGGAAGGATACTACATATTAACCACAAGAAAAAATACACCAAGATGACATTTCAATTCTTAACATCTATCTCAAACACAGGAGCACCTATTTTTGTAAAAGAAACACTATTAGACCTTAAATCACATATTGACCCTCACACACTGATAGTGGGAGACTTCAATACCCCATTCTCACCAATGGATAGGTCATCCAGACAGAAACTAAGCAGAGAAATATTACAGTTATCTGACTTTGTCAGCCAAATTAATCTAACAGATATTTACAGAACATTCCACCAAATGCAAAAGAATATACCTTCTTCTCAGCACCTTACAGAAAATTTTCAAAAGTGAGCAAATATTTGGCCACAAAGCAAGTCTCAACAGATAACAAGAAAATTGAGGCAATTCCCTTTATCCTATCAGACAACTGCAAACTAAAGCAGGACAGCAAGAACAGAAACAACAGAAAGCTTACAAACTCACAGAAACTGAGCAACCTTTTACTGAATGAAAAATGGGTCAAGACAGAAATAAAGAAACTAAAGGCTTTCTAGAATTCATGAAAATGAATACACAGCACACCCAAACTTATGGGACACAATGAAGGTGATGCTAAAAGGAAAGTTTATAATATTGTGTCTACATTTAAAAAAGTTGTAGATTGCTCATACTAGCAACTTAACAGCACACCTGAAAGTTCTAGAACAAAGAGAAGTAAGCGCACCTAAGAGGAAAAGAGAGCAGGAAAGAATCAATCTGCAGAAATCAATAAAATACAAAGAGAACAGTACAAAGAATCAATGAAACAAATAGTTGTTTTTTTTGAGAAAATCAACAAAATGGACAAACTTTATCCAAACTAACTAAAAGACAGAGGAAGAATATCTAAATTAATAAAATCAGAATAACCAAATTAATAAAAGTGAAAAGGGGGGCATAACAACAGACACCAAGGAAATCCTGAGACTCATAAGAATATACTTTCAAAACATGTACTCCACTAAATTAGAAAATCTAAAAGAAATTGATAATTTTCTCAATAAGTATCACTTACCAAAGTTAAATCATGATCAGATAAACAATTTAAGTATTCCTATAACCCCCAGTAAAATAGAAGTAGTCATTAAAAAATTTCCCAACTGAAAAAAAAAAAGCCCAGGCCAGATGGTTTTTATCATAGAATTTTACCAGACTTTCAAAGAAGACTTAATATATGAGAGAGGTTCTATTTTCAATTAAAAAATTACCATATCTTTGGAGGCAGAGATCAAAGATCTCTGTGAGTTTGAGGCCAGCCTTTTCTACATAGTGAGTTCTAGGCCAGCCAGGGTTATATAAAGAGACCCTTTCTCAAAACAAGAGAAAAATCCTTGGCACAATGGATAGTCCATGCCAATAAATTTGCAAGAGCTCAGGTTTAGCTCTCAGGCCTCTGGTAGGTAGTGTAAAACCTGAGTTGATCAAGGAGCCATAGCCACTGACTTCCCAGAGTGTTTAGGTCTCTGTGCCCCATACCTAGGGTTTAGTTGCATGCCATGGCAGAGAAGGCCTTCCTGGACACCTGGTAGGGAGGGTTTCTCATCAGAGTCTCACATTGATTTTGCCCCTTTTAGTCATCCTGAAGAAATGCCCACCCCCAGATCTGAGTATGGCTTCCACTCACAGGCAGTTTGGAGCCCTCACGGGCATGAGCTGGTGTGTAGATGTTGAGATATAGGCAGTCTTCAGAAGTTGAGATGGGAGGCATGCTCCGTTTCATCATTGCCCGACTTTCTGCAACCGCTGTTTCAGAATTCTGTAGACACCTGGGGACAATGACAGTTATTCTAAGAGATGGGCAGTAGTTAAAAACAGGCTGTTGGTACATATTTGCTCTCAGCCACCAAAACCCCTATTTCTGGCCCCATGATATATGCCCTGATAACATGAGTTCCTACTCCAAAAGCTCTTCCAACTAAGGTAAAAGTCAGAGACTTTGGGAAAACCGGTATGGAGCTCAAACTTCTTGTGAGGCTGCCAGATGGGTCTTTGGATCCCAGTCTTCCTGATGATGGGATATTGACATTTCCATGAACTTCTGTGAAAACTATTGGTGTGTGTAATGACACCATTTCTCTTTGTACTCTCCAAGGTCTGGGTATTGGGTCCTGTACCCGTATAGGTGCTGCTTTGATAAACAGGGTGGTGGGACATCCTTCACCTCACATCCAGACTCTCAAGGAACTGCCTCTTGGCCAATGGTACCTGGACACCTATAGGTTGGTACGGTGATTGTGGAGGGTGATTTGCTCAGGAACCATCATCACTCTGGCCTTTCTCTGGCATCTGCAGCATATCCCATCACAGAGAGAATGCAGTGGAGGGCTGGAGATGGAGAAGCACTGCAGTCTGGCTCAGACTTCTAAGCTCCTGCCCATATCAGGACCTGACATTTTCTGGGTCTCAGGAGGACTTACATGGCTGGGTAAGTGGTCCCATCCCTCACACCACTCCATGGTTCAGGAGGCTCAGGAGGTGCAAATCTCAGCTCTCCTAGAGGTGGCTTGGCAAAGGGAAGTCCCAGGAAGATGTAGACTCCCTCTTTGGTGTCATTCAAGTGGATTAGACTCCCCTGCACCTTTCCCGTGTGGGTAGTCCTGATGGGGTTGTCTGAGTCTTTACCTGTAAGTGACATGCGACATCAAGGTTGGGTTTGCCCAATCATCTACCTTCACACTAGGGCTGTTACTTCTTTCTTGCTATCCTCAATTCAGCCTTTTCCAAGTACCCACCTCCCTGGCAAATTCTCTCCACAGCACCATGTTCCAATGTGGAAGAATTTGGCAGACCTGCTGTGTTTCTTCCACACTTGATACACATGGATTGATTGCTCAATGCTACTTGGTGTGGGTAACAAGTAGCCAAGGCAGCAGCCATTCTCAGGTACCAAAGTGCAATTTGCTAACTTCTTTCCAGTGCTGAAAACCCATTCTATCTCTAGCAACATGCTCTCTACAGGATATTATGCCATATGCTATATCTGTCCATATAGATCACTGAGGACATGGGCCACTAGTATCTGTCACTGCTACAGAAACAGTCAAAACCTGCTAAAATGTGTTTGCTAAGAGTCAGGCTACAGCCAAAGAAAGCTTGCCGTGGAATTCCACATATTGGAGTGAGTGTACTTTCAGTCAGGAGGCAGGAAAACAGGCCAGAAAGGGACAGTTTGTGACAAATATGCTAAAGATAAAAATCTAGAGGAGAGGCAGGGAGGGGAGCAAAGAAAAATGTAGAGCTCAATAAAAATCAATTAAAAAATAAAAAACTACACATACATTTCCCCTTTTCATTTTAAAATGAAAAATTGAAGTTTATTAAGCAGAGATTCTTTTTTTTTTCTCTTTTTTCCTCGTTTTTCTAGACAAGGTTTCTTTGTGTAAAAGCTCTGACTGTCCTGGAACTTGTTTTGTAGACTAGGTTGGCCTCAAGCTCACAGAGATTCACCTGCCTCTGCCTCCCGAGTGCTGGGATTATAGACATGCACCAGCACCACCCAGCTAAGTAGAGATTCTGATTTTGAGTGGCATGTGGGGAAAGGATAACACATCTCTAATTACATGTGTAGCCTTCTCAAGAGTTACTGTGTTTTTATAATGGCTGTATGTGCAAAAAGGAGGCCCATGAAAAGTAAAAAAATAATAGCAGAAAATTACCCTGTAATTAAATCAACTGTTACCTATGTCATATTTAAAACCAAAAGTCATCATTGATTGGATTGCCATCTGACCATGTATGTGATACTTTAAATTCCTGATTTTGCTATGGTAAGCATTGCTGACCAAGTTTACTTCCAGATGTCCACCTCATCTTGATTATTACCGATGCTGAAATTGCTGTGGTATTCTGTTTTAACATTTCTACATTGACCTCCCCGCCAGACAGGTTCTTGCCATGTAGCCCAGGCTGGCTTGCAGCTGAAAAGCCTTCCACTTTCTCTGCCTCATCTAGACCACCATTTACAGGTGTGTGCCATTACACCAGCTCACACCAATCTTATCTTGATGCCCCTTGGATGAGCCTGGCCTGGGAGGTTCACAACTCTGTGCCCTCTTATAGTTATCAGTGATTCTGAACCCAGGATCCAAAGAAGAATGTTCAAATAAGCCAAGAGTGGGTTGGGCAGATCTTCCCATCCAGGAGACCCTGGGGACATCTCAGAACCTGGACAACAGCAGGGAAGAGTCACAGTGTGAAGTCCTTATGGCCTCCTTAGGGTAAATCTAATTGAGGAGGCCTGGCAGGAGGTCAGCATGACTCAGGCTTGAACACTTTTGGGTAGGAGGCCTCAGGGCTGCACACTGACCCCGGGCACAGTAGCCTCCTGGCTCACCTATTCATAAACCTGAAGACTTTCTGGCAGACACAGAGCACATGCTCTTTGCCTCGGACTCCAAGTTGTACCTTTTCCAAAGGTCAGAAAATGAAAAAGGGAACACAAGCCTCTCAGTTGGGCAACTGTTGTAGGGCTGGAGAACTGTATGACTGAGGGCCAGGAAAATTTCCCAGGATTGTTTGGAGTATACCGTGATGCTTCTCTGTCTGAGAGGGTGACCCATTTGGAGTTCAATGCTAGTAGGAAGGTGTAATTAATTTTATTATTACCCATGGGTCAGTAAGAGCTACAATCACAGGCAAAACCCTATACAGAAAGGGGACATGGCCCATCTGTCCCTCTGTCCCCAACACTTTTCCTTCTTTCAGACCCAGAGCTTGGCAGAGTAGCCCTCTGTACTATTGCCTCTCCTCAGACATCACTGACTCTCTGGGCCACAGGAGCCACTTTTCCTCTCTGTTGTCTCTACCTGCTCCTCCTCCCTTGCTACCTTTCCTACCACAGCCTCAGGCTCTGCCTCTGCCAAAATTGGCCACTCTGGCCCCCACCACCCATGTAAGGAGTCTCACCCTGCACATGGAGAAGAAACAGAAGTGCACAGGCTCCAGCAATCAGCCAACCACGAAGATTGCAGGACGGCATGATCAGCTCTGAGGCCTGAGTCTGTGCTGCTATGGGATGCACTCTGTGCAGGAAGCAGAATATGTGGGCTCTGCCTAGACAGTTATTTGAACTCCAAGATTTATAGGCGGGAGCTTGGTGGGCGGGGCAAAGTTGCAGGAGAGCTGTGACTAAGCAGAACTGATAGGAACCAGGGTTCAGCAGGTGGGGCAAACGTTCTTCTGTGATGTGTGTTCTTTTTTTTGGTCTCATTGCAAGGCACAACATAGCTTCAGAAGCTAATTATTCTGATAATGGCAACCGTCACCTCAAACCTGGGGTCACTATTGTTTGCTGTCCTTGGAGTCACAGGCCCAGTGTAGGTGTGGGACAGAGGGCAAGGAACAGAAAGCTATGAAAGCCACGGTTGCTTTTCTAAGGAGGTGTGTACTGTGAGGTTCCCACAGATGCGTGGAATGAATACTTGAGAATTGTCCTCTTGATAAAGGAAGAGCAGGAGCAAGCCCAGGGTGCTCTCGGCACACCCTTACTCCCAAGCTTCATGCTTTTTCAAGTCATAATTCCCAAAGTCTACATTCAGTCTCTCCTCCCTTACAGTGGTGATCTTTTTTTAAATTGTTTTCATTGAGCTATATATTATTCTCCACTCTCCTCTCTTACTCCCCTCTACCCTTCTAACCTCTCTTGTGACCCCCATGCTCCAAATTTACTCAGGAGATCTTGTTTTGCTTACCTTCCTATGTAAATCCATATATGTTCTCTTAGGGAGGGTCCTATTTGTTGTCTAGTTTCTCTGGGGTTATGGCCTGTAGGCTGGTTTTTCTTTTCTTTATGTCTAAAAATCACTTATGAGTGAATACATATTATATTTGTCTTTCTGGGTCTGGTTTACAATACTCAATATGTTTTTTTCTAGATCCATCCGTTTGCCTACAAATTTCAAGATGTCATCTTTTTTTTTTAACCTCTGTGTAGTATTCCATTGTGTAGATGAACCACATTTTTTTAATCCATTCTTCAGTTGAGAGGCATCTAGGTTGTTCCCAGGTTCTGGTTATTACAACTGATGCTGCTATGAACATAGTTGAGCACATGTCCTTGTGGTATGATTGAGTGTCTTTTGGGTACACACCCAAAAGCGGTATTGCTGGGTCTTAAGGAAAGTTGTTTCCTAATTTTCTGAGAAATCGCCATACTGATTTCCAAAGCAGCTGTACAATTTTGCACTCCCAACAACAATAGAGAAGTGTTCCCCTTGTCTCACAACCTCTCCAGCATAAGCGGTCATCAGTGTTTTTGATCTTGGTCATTTTGACAGGTGTAAGATGGAATCTCAGAGTTGTTATGATTTGCATTTCTCTGATGGCTAAGGATGTTGAGCATTTTCTTAAGTGTCTTTTAGCCCTTTGGGATTTGCCTGTGAAGAGTTCTCTGTTTAGGTCTGTACCCCATTTTTTTTTATTGAATTATTTGTTCTTTTGATGTCAAGTTTCTTGAGTGAGTTCTTTGTATATTTTGGAGATAAGACCTCTGTCTGATGTGGGGTTGGTGAAGATCTTTTCCCATTCTGTAGGCTGTCGTTTTGTCTTATTGACTATGTCCTTTGCTTTACAGAAGCTTCTCAGTTTCAGGAGGTCTCATTTATTAATTGTTGCTCTCAGTGTCTGTGCTACTGAGGTTATATTTAGGAAGTGGTCTCCTGTGTCAATGCATTCAAGTGAACTTCCCACTTTCTCTTCTATGAGGTTCAGTGTGGTTGTTTTTATGTTGAGGTCTTTGATCCATTTGGACTTGAGTTTTGCATGGTGATAAATATGGATCTATTTGTATTCTTCTGCGTGTTGACATCCAGTTATGCCAGCACCATTTGTTGAATATGCTCTTTTTTCCATTTAATATTTTTAGTTTCTTTTTCAAAAATCAGGTGTTCGAAGGTGTGTGGATTTATATCCAGGGCTTCAGTTAGATTCCATTGGTCCTCCTGTCTGTTTTTATGCCAATACCAGGCTGTTTTCAACACTGTAGCTCTACAGTAGAGTTTGAAGTCAGGGATTGTGATGCCTCCAGAAGTTCTTTTGTTGTACAGGATTGTTTTGGCTCTCCTGGGTTTTTTGTTCTCCATATGAAGTTGAGTATTATTCTTTTGTGGTGTGTGGAGAATTTTGCTGGGCGTTTCATTGAATCTGTAGATTGCTTTTGGTAAGAATGCCATTTTTACTATGTTAATTCACATGGGAGATCTTTCCATTTTCTGGTGTCTTCTTCAATTTCCTTCTTCAAGGTTTTAAAGTTCTTGTCATATAGAGCTTTCACTTGTATGGTTAGTGTTACCCCAAGGTATTTTATGTTACTTGTGGCTATTGTGAAGGGTGATGTTTCTCTGATTTCTTGTTTGGCTCGTTTATCATCTGTTACAGTGGTGACCTTAAGTCTATACATACCCCTCCTGGTGAAGCCATGACTGTTTCAGTTAGACTCACCGCAACTCTGACAACTTACTTTTTTTTTTATTACACACTGTTTTTTATGGTTATCAATGAGATTTTATATGCTATAAAGTTAATGATCTCACAAATTGCTTTTCTGTTCATAAATGGATATCATAAAAGTAAATATATAACACTAAGCATCTCTGTAGTCAATCAAATGATTAACTTTTAATGGTTCTATAAAATCATGACCATATTATCTAATAACACATGATTACATTGTATACGAAAAGCCACTTGTGCTTTCCTCCTTCCCCTTCTTCTTAAAAAGAAATATAACACACTAATGTTTCATTATGACATTTTATACATGTATGTAGTGTTTATAATAACATTCTCTCCCAATATCTTCTCTTGCCTTCTTCCTATTCTCAGCAATGATCCCTTCCCTCCCAATAGTCTGCTTTCCATTTGTAAATGTTTTCATTTTAATTTTTAAATTTTACATGTAAGGTTTTATGTGTTCCTGGTGCCAAAAAAGAGTTGAATCCCCTGGAACTAAAGTTATGGTCATGAGCTGCCATGAGGTCGAATGGAACTCAGGTTCTCTGCGAGAGCCGCAAGTGCTGTTAATCACTGAGCCACCTCTCCAGCCCCTATTCACCCTTCTATCCCTGTCCCCGGTTCATTTATTTAGGCCGATGTGACATACTTTGTTCATCAGCACATGAACCACAGGCAGATGCTAGTAGGTACCCAGGCAAATGGTGGCACACATGGGGCTGAAGAAGCAGGCAGACAGGCTTACAGACAGGTGACACACACAGTTGGGTCGATGAAGACATAGGCACCCAGCTATGGCTTCAATTCATCAGCAAATCAGTCCCTTTAGATATTCATGGAAAAGCCCTTACCCATCTCAACAATGTCTCTACCATAGCCAGTAAATACCTGGTCTTTTTTATGGGTATCTTGTGGGTGAAATTAGTCCCCCAGTCCTGGCCAGTCTTACCTCGAAAGGTAGTGTTCTGATGTCCCTGGGGCATGTCAGGCAGGACTGGGTAACCTCATGGAGATTTATGAGAAGGGACAAATCTTCAATTAATTGTGAGCATAGATTGGGGCAGTGGCCCCTATGGAATTGGTTATGGAGGGTTGTTAAAATGGTAAATCCTTTCCAGGTACAATTATTTTCCACCCTTAACAAACCAACCGTGATATGGGGTTGCTCCCTCTTTGGATAATTTTTCTTTTTTTCTCAGAAGAGAAAGGAGGAGGTAGATGGGCAAGGCAAAAAGGATCAAAGAGAGGTTTATGAATGGGAATTTAGTTCCCCTGTCAACCTTAGGATTTTCTAGACTAATAATGACGGAATTAAATTATTGGTGCCCCAGGAATGGAGGATATTGGCACACTGGGAACAAAAGGTAGCCTGCAACAATTTCAAAAACCGGGTCAGGGTAGCACACACCTTTAATCCTGACACTTGGGAGGCAGAGGCAGACTGCTCTTCGTGAGTTCGAGGCCAGTCTAATCTACAGAGAAAGTTCCAGGACAGCCAGGGATGTATACGATGAGATCTGTCTCAACAACAACAACAAAGAAATCAACGTGCAATTAATTCTAGATGAGTCCTTGGCAGTTAGGACTCCTCTCCTAACAGGTTGAGAAACACTACTCTAAGGTATTGTTTTCTACCCTTGAGCATCCCTCGGCCCTACAACTTCTTTAAAGGTTAAACACATTTGACTTCTGACTCTGACTCAGCGCTAAGTCTGAACTCCAAAAATCTAATGTGATCATGTGAAGCCATGTTTGTAAATATGTTTAAGTGTTTATTAAAAACAGCCAAGCCTGGATGGCTAGGGTAAAATGCACATGACTACCTGAGTGTAGATCCCCTACATCCATAGACAGCATGGCCTACATTTCTAACCCCAGTGGTGAGGTGTAAGTAGAGGTGGACCAGGGGCTCTAGCTGGCTACCAAAAGGCTTAACAGCAAGATCCAGGTTCCGTCAAAAACTTCATCTAAAAAGATAAGGTGGGAAGTGATTAGAGATCCCATCCTGGCATCAATCTCTTGTCTTTACATGTACCTATAAATAGAGGAGAAGATACTTGCACATGATTGTACATAAATACCGCCCCCCCACGCAGAGAGAGAGAGAGAGAGAGAGAGAGAGAGAGAGAGAGAGAGAGAGAAACAAAGAACTACCTCACTTGATCTTGAAAGCCCAGTCCTATAAAACCGGTACTCAGAAGGCCAAGGCAGGGTCATGAATTCAGAACCAACCTGGTCTTCAAAGAAATCCTTAATACATATGTATACAGGCATATGCACAAATAAACCTGTAAACAAACAAACAAAAACAAGCCAAGTCAAAACAATCACTTAGTTATGCATCAACTGAGCAAGTGTATAAAGCGTTAGATGTGCGTACAAGGAGTGACCTGCTGTGATAAAAGAGAGTGAAGGGATGAGCAAGTGACTCAGTAGGTGAAGGCACTTGCCACCCGGACACCAACCTGAGTGTGATACCTGAAACTCACATGGCAGAAGGAGAGCCAACTCCTGTATGTTGTCCTTCACACACACACACACACACACACACACACACACACACACGCCATATAAGTACAAGAATTTCTTAA